AAAAAAAAAAAAAAAAAAAAAAAAAAGACGATTAAAATCTTTAGAAAGAATCGAAAAAATATGAACAATCAACAAATTTATAGAATTACGAGTCAAATACGAAGAAAGAAATATATACGATACTTGCTTGTACACCGCGCAATACAAATCGACTTATCTTAATGGATACCATCTACTTTTTTCATGTGTTCTAACATGATTGTATCTGACAAATTCCATATACCGATATATACCACGCACATTCAAGTCAAGTTACCGAACAAGTTATACGATATGATTCGATGTTCGTACGCCATTATCAATTTACATTATTTAAACTAATGATGATGTTAAGACCGGTTCGTTGGGCGCATCGTTTTTCTAGTCTTTGTTCCCTAAATGAAAGCGATCTGGGCGAGTATATGTAAATCGGATAAAAACGGGTCAAAAATGAAAACAAACTCGGGTAAATATGCTGTATAGTTAGATTACGTAGAAAGGAAAAGGATTAACGCGTTGACACGAGATAGGGGGAAAATTTTAGTACAAATTCAATAGCTTTATCGCTTAAGATGTGGAAAAGAACAAGAATAAAAGGTACTAAAAAAAAAAAATGATATGGCAATAAACACATAGTATGCAACATACGAATGCAGGGTTACAAATACACGATTAGGAAGTCGTTCGACGAATTAAGCGCTCGACGCCTCGGTACTAATATCGACGACATTTCGTATCCCGTGAATTACAATCCAAGCCTTTCCTTCGAATTATATACGTATTATCCGAGATCATCCATGTTCGTTTGTATCTCATATATCTATACGCATTATTTTTTCCACTGCAAAGGTTTACGCGTCACCGATCTCTAGTATGCGAAAAGAGATCTGGGTTATCATCTATTATTTACTCAAAACAAATCGAATAAATTTCGAGAATGATAAAAAGTAGGCTATAAGGCGTTGATCGATAGAAAATATAAAATATGACGATTTCGATCGCGATAAGTAGAGGTAATGTTTTTTAAGAAAAGAAAAAAAATCAATGCAAGTAAACGAGAGCGATTTTTATGTAAATTTTCTTGATAATTTTGTAAAAAGTCTTATTTAATCTTCTAATCTATCAATAAATTAAATAACAGTTTATAAATGAAATGAAATGATGTGTTATAATGCATGTACACATGTACATAAATATATATATATATGTATATACATATATATATATATGCCGGATATCCCATTATTTCCCGATTTTAAGAAAAAAAGTCATTTAAATTATTCAACAAAATAAAGTAATATATAAAACAAAATAGAATGGAAAAAGGAAATATTCGTAGATATATTTTTCTTTTTCCTTTCTGAATAAAATCAAACAAAATATTATAATATTAATCATTGGAAAAATTATTGGAAAATTCTGATAATATCAAATAATTTGCAACTGTCGAAAACCTAAAATAATGTTTAATGTCCTTAATGATTTTTTATCGTTTATCCAAATAAATTCATTTTATAGAAATCTCTTTTTGGCTTATATTAAAAACATCGGAAAAATGGAACATTCGATACAAATGTAATGCTAATATTTCATGTAGTGCTAATTTTCTATTGCACATGCAGGTAAGTCTAATTTGCCGATAAGATATGTCGAATAAATAAAATTTCGAATAATCGTTGTATATCGGAACGAAAACAACGTGTTGGAAACCGAGAAATTACATATTGTTTATAAGTTGATTTAATCGCATTCATGGACGGAAGAATGCGGTTTTTATCATATATACCACTACGACTATATCTGGTGGTAGCAAAGCAAAAAAACTCCACGATAAATATTATTATGAATGTATTTGAAATAAATGAATAAATGGAAACAAAACACGCTCCGTTACACCGCTTTATACAAATTTATTTTTTTTTTTTAAACATTATTCGTGTTATGGTTCCGAAGATTCTTATCGACATATGCAAAAAAATCTTAAGAGCAAGTATATCGGCTTTACAAAGTTATATCTAATTTTAACCGACCAAAA